CTGTATGTGAGCGTATGTGTGTACTGTACGTCTGTAGGTGAGAGTGTGTGTGTACTGTACGTCTGTATGTGAGAGTATGTGTGTACTGTCTGTCTGCACTTGAGAGTATATGTGTACTGTATGTATGTATGTGAGAGTATGTGTGTACTGTTTGTCTGTACGTGAGGGTATGTGTATACTGTATGTCTGTACGTAAGAGTATGTGTGTACTGTATGTATGTATGTGAGAGTATGTGTGTACTGTTTGTCTGTACGTGAGAGTATGTGTGTACTGTATGTCTGTACGTGAGAGTATGTATGTACTGTATGTTTGTATGTGAGAGTATGTGTGTACTGTATGTCTGTATGTGAGAGTATGTGTGTACAGTATGTATGGTTAATATATATGTATGGTAAACATGCTACCAACAACTGACACTCAATATTATTAAAGACATTTATATATTTTTATTTATATGTATCTATATTTCCAATTATTGATCAACAATAGCTTACACAACGAAGGAGATTTGTTAAAAAGTTGTGAAATATGGTAAACAAAAGTTTTAGTCTTAGCTGTAAAGAGGAACATCTTTAAACATGCAGAACAGTGGGACAGGGATCCTTAATTTTATTTACAGTTGTTTACTTCTGTAACCAAGCATTGTTCCTATCTACAATGTGAATCTAAGATCCCTCTGATAATTCACCGGTAATGGGGAATTCTGAAGCTCATACAGCACACATAGAAAGTATTAAGTGTTTACCTTGCCGAATAATCTCTGCAGAACATGATATCGCATGATCCGGAGTGTATTTATTTCAAAAGACTACCCACAATAGACCCATGTCATTTAAAGACATCGCTACGGTGAGGTTTAAATAAAGTTATTTAGAACCAAATGCTAGTATTTTTTGTATTCGTTATCTCAAGGTGTGGCTGATTTCTGGACAAAGTTTAAAATTCGCGGAGGTTTTATTTTCGCTGCATCTGCCGCCTAAACAAACACACTAAACAGAAGCACGGTAGGAGAGTCGGCCGTTCGGAAGAGATTTATTTTGTTTCGTGCTAGAAATTTTAATCTCGATATCAGCTTTGGTAACCAACCGGATACAAAGACCTCTAGGAATCAAATCGCTGTATAGAATACACGTGGAAGTACATTACATAGTTTGCCTATCACATTTATAAAATGGATTGGATACACTGGGAAATGCAGATAGCAGCTTTTTAAAACGAAAAATGAAGAAAGTCAGTTGCAGGCTGTTACAGTATTTACTTATCAATACTAACAATTTTATACAATAAAATGGATTATTATTTAGGATCATAATCTTGTTCGAATCACTTATACGGCCGTATTGTGACTACAATATATTCATGAAGGTGTAAATAAAAAAGTCTGATAAAATTTTAAATTTTGCCTTGCTTAGGTAATAAGTGTTTCTACCAGCCCCTTTTAATCTACTCTACTTCAATGGACGGGTGGTGCAGTGGATAACGGACTGGCCTTTCACCGAGACGGCCGGGGTTCGATTTCCCGGTCAGTTACCCAAACAACGGAAGTGTCCTGGCCAAACTTTGCTTCAGTAACATCTAAAACAAAATGCAGGGAGAAGGGTATTGATGTATATACGGAAAACTACAATCAGTTGGACAAGTATCCTTACAAAATTGCAATACAAATTTAATCAGGTAAAGAAAAGCTGACAATGAAAGACATATTATTGTGCGTCACAACGCATATTTTTCTCGTAGCTCTTGACGATTCAATGTTTTTCATCAATAGTTTTTCGCTGAACGCATTGAAATCAATAACACCTGTCCCGTATTTCGACTGGTCGTGTTAAGTTATCAATGTCGTTTCTATATTTAGAAACTAGGGCAAATTATAATGTCTGGGATATAAAGGAAAGTTAAAAAGGTGGGGTAGCACATTTATTATATTTATTTTCACCCCTAATTCAACTGTAGGTTCTTGTTGTATTGTAGTACAATTATTTAAACACCAAGCTTGTCAACACAATGTCGCTAAAGCTATCGAATACTTTTGTTCTTTGTGTTTAATTTCTTCACCAGTTAATTTAAAAATAAACCGAATAGTTCAATTTTTTACAAATGTAATAAATAAAATGTTAAAATATAATTAGTATACTCGTATAAATCAAATCGACATAAGTTTATCAGTACCACATATTAAACGCTTAAATGGATTTACAGCAATAATTTTTTTTTGATGATATATAATAATCCTTTGAGTTTCTGGATCAATCAACAAAATAACAAAGCGTCAAACCAAATATATTTAAATACCCGGTATGTTAAAACGTCGCACAGACACACACTTTAAGATAATTAATATTTTTACAGTATCAACATTTCCTGTATGGGATGATATAAAACCCCTTTCACCTAGACGGTCGTGGTCGATTTCCCGATCGGACGCGAAAGGTTTGCGCCGGGTACTTTGGTTTCCTCCCACATCAGACAATCCAACCCCTCCTGCGCGATAACATTCGGGCCAACAGGAGTGTTTTACATCAAGAATATACTGGACGTTGGTTAAACGTTGGAAGTAAACACGTGGTGGTCACGTGGTTAATGCGTCTGCTAATCTGCTTCCACTAGCCCTCCACCACTGGGTGGCGGGTTCGATGCTAGTCCGAATTATTCTGACGTTTTATCGACTTTTTTCATATCGGTCTGTCTTCGATTAACGTCAGAACTCCGGCCCTCTATAATATGCGGGAAATATGCGACCCACGCCCGGAGCGCACTTCAAACTGATATTTTAGAAACAAATCGTCACTTTCACACCCATGTCGCACATGGATCGAAAGATCTATTCTTTATGCACAAGATGAACATACATAACATGCCTCAAACAACCAATACAATCACTGAAAACTTATTTTTTTTCAAACTTACTCTGTTTTACTTTAGTTTTTTGATAGCCCCGCCTTCTAATGCCACGATCTATGTGCGATATGTGTATTTAATACTGCCAGTATTGACGAAATGATTTTTTTTTATTTATTTATCACTGGAATACGATTTTGGGCTTCAGCATGAAACCTTACTATGAGCATAAAACCGTTTTCATGCTCAAACCGAATTCTTGATTCAGTGAAAAATAAAAAAAATACTTCACTTTTTGACAATAGTTTGGAAGAATTCGGGAGAGACTTGAAGCAGAATATTTTGTTCAGAGTTTCGTCTGACTTTTTACCATGTTCTTTGATTTAAACGAGTTACAAAAAGTGAAAAGGTATGGGGTCACCTAATTACGTAGTTTTCTCCGGGTACTCCGGTTTCCTCCAACACTTAGACCCCCCACGCGCTAGCATCCAGGCCAACAAAAGTGATTAATACAAGTTGAAATAACTTGTTTCATAATGTTGTTAAATGAATAAAGTTTATAAATATAAAGTTATTTAGAACCAAATGCTATTTTTGTTTGTATTCGTAAAATAGCAATAAGTTGTTTCATTATTGTTGTCAAATAAATATAAGTTTGCATATATAATACAAGAAAGTTGGTTTGAGTAGAGAATCCGTGTTTGAGCATGATACATATAACTGTTTCATGAATCGGGCCCTGGTCTAATTCTCCTTACACTTCTACAATTCGTGTACATTTCATATTTGTTATAACACTTTGTCCTACTTCTCATGCGGCTTATTGGTAGACCCATTTCTACTTAACCCCGTCAGAAGTGAGAAGTCAAAATGGCCAATCCCTAATGATGATGATGTTTCTCGTTTCATAAATAATCGACCTTTTTCTAGGTATCTACCTTATACTTATACTATAACTTGTGAAATAATTTGTGAAACATTCGCTGATATGATCGATATCAACCGGGGCAACATGCCATTATAACGATTTAAATAGTAATTACGCGATAATAACCTTCCTTATATACCTTTCGTCAAGGACAAACTAACTAAAAAAATTGGAGTAACGACATATTCCGTCTTTGCGTATCGCAGAGTTATCTTCTCTTGGGAGCAGGTATTGATTGTTACGTCACTCGTTTGTGAGAGTTACGTCATCAATTTTTGAGAAAAAGACGTAATTTTCTCGCACAAACCAATGATGTAGCAATCAATACATGCTCCCAAGACAAGATAACTCTACAATACGCAAAGACGGAATTATAGCCCAGGGACACAAATTTTACATATTTCACATTAAGCTCCTGTTTTTACGACACCTTCAGATTGTATACATTTCGCAACAACCCCGTTATACCAAATGCAGTTTAGCCTATAAACATTCGAATTAAGAAAAAAAACACTATTTACATTGCACAAATCTTTATTATTATGCGAAAGCATTGTCTTTAAAGCAAATTTTGCAGAAAACTTGTGGTCTCAAACATTGAAAAGCATAGTTCTAATTAAGCTATTTCATTAATAGTTTATTAACACTATTTAGCAAAACCAACCCCTGTAGGTGTAGGGACACATGCATCAATAATAGACTCTCATCCCGGTCAATATCACTTCTCACGTTCATATAACCATTTATTTACCGAAATAAAATGTCTTAAATTGTTACGTCATATGGTAAATAAGGCTTAAATAATTACAGAGATGAAACGTATGAAAATTGTACGGAGGCGGGTACTGCGATGGATAGAGTAAAGAGTGACGTTAAAATTAACCTGCTGTTTCTAAAAATAGTAACATCGAGTTAATATCAAAAATCACCGACCTCCACGTGAATATGATCCAACCAATGAGAATTGAGGAAAAATGTGCGTCATATAGTTTAGGAATACACCCCGTCTGTATCCAATGAATAATGACATTTTCCGACTAATACATGATTCAAGGAGCAATTCTTTCCGCTCTTATTTGGGTCGTCGAAGAAACAAAACTGTATATGTTTCCCTCGATGCATAAGCCCGTTAATTCATCATGCCTATGTAATATCTCGTTTTGGAGATATCTCTCCCATAGTTTTTACACTTCAAGATCAACGTTACTAAAAAAATACCATTTTCTGTTTCAGGATTTGTGATCACAGGAATAGCCGCACAGAGCTATGACCCAACTTCATCGACATTTGACACAACTAGCGAGCCTCTGCCGACAGAAACACAAGATTCGGGAGGAACAACACTTGACGCCATTACGACCGAGATACCAACAAACATAACTATCCACACCACAGCCTCTACTGACACGTCTTTATATTCAGAAAGTTCAACAAACGATTATACCGGTGAAACAATGTCTCCATTTACGGATTCATCAATGCCTACAGGTGCTGATCCGTCAATGCCTACAGGAGCTACTGATGGCTATACTGGTCAAACAATGCCTCCATTTACGGATTCATCAATGCCTACAGGTGGATATACTTCAATGCCTTCAGGAGCTACTGATGACTATACTGGTCAAACAATGTCTCCATTTACGGATTCATCAATGCCTACAGGTGGATATCCGTCAATGCCTCCAGGAGCCACTGATGGCTATACTGGTTACGGATTCATCAATGCCTACAGGTCGATATCCGTCAATGCCTACAGGAGCCACTGGTGACTATACAGTTGAAACAATGTCTCCATTTACGGATTTATCAATGCGTACAGGTGGATATCCGTCAATGCCTCCAGGAGCCACTGATGGTTATAATGGTGAAAGAATGTCTCCATTTACGGATTCATCAATGCTTACAGGTGGATATACATCACTGCCTACTGGAGCTAATGATGGCTATACTGGTGAAACAATGACTAATGCCTACAGGAACTACTGATGGTTATACAGGTGAAACAATGTATCCATTTACGGATTCATCAATGCCTTCAGGTGGATATCAATCAATGCCTACAGGAGCCTCTGATGACTATACTGGTGAAACAATGTCGCCATTTACGGTTTCATTAATTCCTACAGGTGGTTATCCTTCAATGCCTACAGGAGCAACTGATGACTATACTGGTGAAACAATGTCGCCATTTACGGTTTCATTAATTCCTACAGGTGGTTATCCTTCAATGCATACAGGAGCCACTGATGGCTATACCGGGGAAACAATGTCTCCATTTACGGATTAATCAATGCCTACAGGTGGATATCCGTCAATTCCTACAGGAGCCACTGATGGCTATACCGGTCAAACAATATCTCAATTTACGGATTCATCAATGCCTACAGATGGATATACTTCAATGCCTTCAGGAGCTACTGATGACTATACTGGTGAAACAAGGTCTCCATTTACGGATTCATCAATGCTTACAGGTGGATATACATCACTGCCTCGTCAATGCCTACAGGAGCTACTGATGGTTATACAGGTGAAACAATGTATCCATTTACGGATTCATCAATGCCTACAGGTGGATATCAATCAATGCCTACAGGAGCCTCTGATGACTATACTGGTGAAACAATGTCGCCATTGACGGATTCATTAATGCCTACAGGTGCTGATCCGTCAATGCCTACAGGAGCCACTGGTGACTATACAGTTGAAACAATGTCTCCATTTACGGATTTATCAATGCGTACAGGTGGATATCCGTCAATGCCTCCAGGAGCCACTGATGGCTATACTGGTTACGGATTCATCAATGCCTACAGGTGGATATCCGTCAATTCCTACAGGAGCCACTGATGGCTATACCGGTGAAACAATATCTCCATTTACGGATTCATCAATGCTTACAGGTGGATATACATCACTGCCTACTGCTACTGATGGCTATACCGGTGAAACAATATCTCCATTTACGGATTCATCAATGCTTACAGGTGGATATACATCACTGCCTACTGGAGCTAATGATGGCTATACTGGTGAAACAATGACTAATGCCTTCAGGAGCTACTGATGGTTATACAGGAGAAACAATGTCTCCATTTACGGATTTATCAATGCGTACAGGTGGATATCCGTCAATGCCTCCAGGAGCCACTGATGGTTATAATGGTGAAAGAATGTCTCCATTTACGGATTCATCAAGGCCTACAGGTGGATATCCGTCAATGCCTCCAGGAGCCACTGATGGTTATAATGGTGAAACAAGGTCTCCATTTACGGATTCATCAATGCCTACAGGGGGATATCCGTCAATGCCTACAGGAGTGAAACAATGTCTCCATTTACGGATCCATCAATGCCTACCGGTGCTGATCCTGGTGAAACAATGTCTCCATTTACGGATTTATCAATGCGTACAGGTGGATATCCGTCAATGCCTCCAGGAGCCACTGATGGTTATAATGGTGAAACAATGTCTCCAGTTACGGATTCATCAATGCCTACAGGTGCTGATCCATCAATGCCTACAGGAGCTACTGATGGCTATACTGGTGAAACAATGACTAATGCCTACAGGAACTACTGATGGTTATACAGGTGAAACAATGTATCCATTTACGGATTCATCAATGCCTAACGGTGCTGATCCGTCAATGCCTACAGGAGCCACTGGTGACTATACAGTTGAAACAATGTCTCGATTTACGGATTCATCAATGCCTACAGGTGCTGATCCGTCAATGCCTTCAGGAGCTACTGATGACTATACTGGTGAAACAATGTCGCCATTTACGGATTCATCAATGCCTACAGGTCGATATCCGTCAATGCCTACAGGAGCCACTGGTGACTATACAGTTGAAACAATGTCTCGATTTACGGATTCATCAATGCCTACAGGGGGATATCAGTAAATGCCTACAGGAGCCACTGATGACTATACTGGTGAAACAATGTCGCCATTTACGGATTCATTAATGCCTACAGGTGGTTATCCTTCAATGCCTACAGGAGCCACTGATGGCTATACCGGTGAAACAATGTCTCCATTTACGGATTCATCAATGCCTACTGGTGCTGATCCGTCAATGCCTACAGGAGCCACTGATGGCTATACTGGTTACGGATTCATCAATGCCTACAGGTGGATATCGTTCAATGCCTACAGGAGCCACTGATGACTATACAGGTGAGACAATGTCTCCATTTACGGATTCATCAATGCCAACAGGTGGATATCATTCAATGCCTACAGGAGCCACTGATGACTATACAGGTGAAACAATGTCTCCATTTACGGATTCATCGATGCCTACAGGTGGATATCCGTCAATGCCTACAGGAGCCACTGATGGCTATACCGGGGAAACAATGTCTCCATTTACGGATTCATCAATGCCAACAGGTGGATATCATTCAATGCCTACAGGAGCCACTGATGACTATACTAGTGAAACAATGTCTCCATTTACGGATTCATCGATGCCTACAGGTGGATATCCGTCAATGCCTACAGGAGCCACTGATGGCTATACTGGTTACGGATTCATCAATGCCTACAGGTGGATATACTTCAATGCCTACAGGAGCCACTGATGGCTATACTGGTTACGGATTCATCAATGCCTACAGGTGGATATCCGTCAATGCCTACAGGAGCCACTGATGGCTATACCGGTGAAACAATGACTCCATTTACGGATTCATCAATGCCTACAGGTGGATATCCTTCAATGCCTACAGGAGCCACTGATGGCTATACTGGTGAAACAATGACTAATGTCTCCATTTACGGATTCATTAATGCCTACAGGTGCTGATCCGTCAATGCCTACAGGAGCTTCTGATGGCTATACTGGTCAAACAATGTCTCCATTTACGGATTCATCAATGCCTACAGGTGGATATACTTCAATGCCTACAGGAGCCACTGATGACTATACTGGTGAAACAATGTCGCCATTTACGGATTCATTAATGCCTACAGGTGCTGATCCGTCAATGCCTACAGGAGCCACTGATGGCAATACCGTTGAAACAATGTCTCCATTTACGGATTCATCAATGCCTACTGATGGATATCCTTCAATGCCTACAGGAGCCACTGATGGCTATACCGGTGAAACAATGTCTCCATTTACGGATTCATCAATGCTTACAGGTGGATATACATCACTGCCTACTGGAGCTAATGATGGCTATACTGGTGAAACAATGTCTCCATTTACGGATTCATCAATGCCTACAGGGGGATATCCTTCAATGCCTACAGGAGCCACTGATGGCTATACTGGTGAAACAGTGACTCCATTTACGGATTCATCAGTGCCTACAGGTGCTGATCCTTCAATGCCTACAGGAGCCACTGATGACTATACTGGTGAAACAATGTCTCCATTTACGGATTCATCAATGCCTACAGGTGCTGATCCGTCAATGCCTACAGGAGCTACTGATGGTTATACAGGTGAAACAATGTCTCCATTTACGGATTCATCAATGCCTACAGGTGGATATCCATCAATGCCTACAGGAGCCACTGATGGCAATACCGGTGAAACAATGTTTCCATTTACGGATTCATCAATGCCTACAGGTGGATATCCTTCAATGCCTACAGGAGCCACTGATGGTTATACTGGTGAAACAATGACTCCATTTACGGATTCATCAATGCCTACAGGTGCTGATCCGTCAATGCCTACAGGAGCTACTGATGGTTATACTGGTGAAACGATGCCTTCATCTACTGATTCATCAATGTCTACAGGTGCTGATCCGTCAATGCCTACAGGAGCTACTGATGGTTATAATGGTGAAACAATGCCTTCATCTACTGATTCATCAGTGCCTACAGGTGCTGATCCTTCAATGCCTACAGGAGCCACTGATGGCTATACTGGTGAAACAATGACCCCATTTACGGATTCATCAATGCCTACAGGTGCTGATCCGTCAATGCCTACAGGAGCCACTGATGGCTATACTGGTGAAACAGTGACTCCATTTACGGATTCATCAATGCCTACAGGTGCTGATCTGTCAATGCCTACAGGAGCCACTGATGGCTATACTGGTGAAACAATGACTCCATTTACGGATTCATCAATGCCTACCGGCGGAAATCTCTCAATGCCTACAGGAGCTACTGATGTTCATACATCAACATCAGCATCACAGCCTTCAACATCTTCTTCAGCTTCAGCATCACCGACCTCAACTTTTTCCACACCATCCACGTCAGAAGTACCGAGTTCAACATCTGCAACTTCTTCAACATCAGCATCCCCGACTTCAACAACTTCTTCAACATCGACATCACCGACTTCAAGAACTTCTTCTACTTCAGCATCACCGACTTCAACTTCCTCCCCAACTTCCACGCCAGAAGTACCGAGTTCAACATCTTCAACGGCCTCAACATCGGCATCACCGACTTCAACAACTTCTTCAACATCGACATCACCGACTTCAACAACTTCTTCTACTTCAGCATCACCGACTTCAACTTCCTCCACAACTTCCACGCCAGAAGTACCGAGTTCAACATCTTCAACGGCCTCAACATCAGCATCACCGACTTCAACAACTTCTTCAACATCAGCATCACCGACTTCAACAACTTCTTCTACTTCAGCATCACCGACTTCAACTTTTTCCACATTTTCCACGTCAGAAGTACCGAGTTCAACATCTGCAACTTCTTCAACATCAGCATCACAGCCTTCAACATCTTCTTCAGCTTCAGCATCACCGACTTCAACTTCTTCCACTTTTTCCACGTCAGAAGTACCGAGTTCAACATCTGCAACTTCTTCAACATCAGCATCACCGACTTCAACAACTTCTTCAACATCGGCATCACCGACTTCAACAACTTCTTCAACATCGGCATCACCGACTTCATCAACTTCTTCTACTTCAGCATCACCGACTTCAACTTCTTCCACATTCTCCACGTCAGAAGTACCGAGTTCAACATCTGCAACTTCTTCAACATCAGCATCACCGACTTCAACAACTTCTTCTACTTCAGCCTCACCGACTTCAACTTCTTCCACATTTTCCACGTCAGAAGTACCGAGTTCAACATCTGCAACTTCTTCAACATCAGCATCACCGACTTCAACAACTTCTTCAACATCAGCATCACCGACTTCAACAACTTCTTCAACATCGGCATCACCGACTTCATCAACTTCTTCTACTTCAGCATCACCGACTTCAACTTTTTCCACATTTTCCACGTCAGAAGTACCGAGTTCAACATCTGCAACGGCTTCAACAACAGCATCACCGACTTCAACAACTTCTTCAACTTCGGCATCACCGACTTCAACAACTTCTTCAACAACCTCCTTAACGTCAGCATCAGCAACTGCAACAACAGTTACAACATCAGCATCACCGACTTCAGTTTCAGCATCAACAACAACCACAGCAACTACAACACCGACAACTATAACATCAACAATATCCGCTTCTACAGCAGTTGCACAATCTAAGTCACAAGTGGAGGCGAGTCTGGAGAATGCCGGGAGTCGTACACTCTCCAATAACTTTGTGGTATCAGTGCTGTGTATTTGCTGTACTTTGATATGCAGTGTTTTAAAATTCCTTTAAACTACATTCGCAACTTAATTTGACTACATAGGTAAGACAATGTTTTATTATTTTAAATCAATAACACCAGTCTAAATATTTTAAGGGAACAGCGTTAAATACTTGAGTCATGCAATTCATTATCATGAATTTCTAAATAGTGAAATAGCTTCAATACTATCAAGGTATTCATTCAATTTGCCATAAATAAATATTCTTTTAGTCATTTTTCTACTGTAAATCATTAAAGTTATAATAGTTTACTAACTCTGACATAACTCACTGTAGTTGTGGAAACACATATTTCAAAGTCGTGCAATCAACATCTGTTTAACGAGAATTTCAATTTGTGAATATAACACAAAGATATGCGCTGTTTACTTTAGTTTTAAAGGGAACGTTTTTGATAAACATGAAATAAAGTCGACGTGAAACTGTATTTAAAATTGTAAAATTCACTGATCTCCTTATTTTCCCTTTTACATCGTTATCGTCTTTAATTATATTTGTCACAGTCAATGCTACGATATCAGTGCTTAAATCATATTTAAAGGGATCTAAACAAAATGTTTTTTCCCTACCGCGGCAGTAATAGGATGGCAGCCACTATTGGGATTTAAGGTTTGTTTAGTGTATTCTTTTAAATGTTTGTGCTTATAACTGCTAGGCATTGACATCATAAATAATATCCCGTTCATATCACGTTGAATAAGATCTGATTAAATCTGACCTAGAGGCATCCCTCTGTGTATTTTTGTACCTAAAAGTGCAAATATCGATGATTATTTGACAGGTCTACCCGTGGCCGGTGGATGACAAGATATAGCTAGCATTATATTCTCTCAGTAGTGTCGAGTAGGTCCTAACTGGTATAGTCTGACTCTTCATATAACAACCCTACGCTTAGTTCATACACCCCCGAAACGAAACAGACGTAAACCTTTATTACAAAAGTTGAGCATGTACTGGTATTCTCGCAATTTTTGCGAAAACAAACTTTCCGCGAAAAATGAAACCCACAAAATTGATGTGAAATGAATACATTTTTACCGGAGATTATTTTCTCATGGACACTAGACCTGAGATCTACTTAACATAAATTATGCAAAAAATGGCCTTTTTAGTAAATCCGCGAAAAGTAGGTACTGTGAAATATAACACATTTACAGTAAACTTTTTTCTTCGAAAATCAGTTTAGAATAATATAAACTGTCAATATCAAAATATGTTTATGAATACCATTGTGAAAAAATATTAAATCACATTTTGATCAGAAATAGATAGTTAAACAAAGTTTTATTTAAGCTGAAATTTAATGATTTAAATACAATTTTTATTTTGTTAGATACATGTAGAAACACACTTTTTTAATTGTTTATTATGTGACGGTTATTCTGGTAGTATAGTGAGACATGTATATAAATATCTTTTTAATTTTGTTAAATAACTATGAAAAATCACCGATTAGCTTTTGATATAAATTTAATTAAAAAATATTTAGGACTTAAATTAGGTTTCAGTTTGTGAAAAACCGAAGTCGCTTAGGGTCGTTAGGATATAATTTTAAATATCACTTTTCAGCAAACTGCCGAGTATTCACGAACAGTTTAGCATGTTTGCGTCTTTGGAAATATCATCTATAATCTTGTCTTTATCTTTTATTTTCATTTTTTTAAAATAATTTCGTGAAGTAAACCTGACTGATAGCAATCGGTATATATATTTTGAGTATTTTGTAAATGTTTTTTTTTATATATAGTTATATCATATATTTATAGGTGTAATTCTGTCTTAAAAGGAAAACTATTCATTGTGAGTTTTTGGTATGATAACGAAATGATGCTTAACTATTTTTTTAATATTTTATTATTGATGTATTATCCCTTCATTGTTTTTTTGTTCTAAATATTCTTTTTATCTTTTGTTATATATAAACAATTACTGCGGTCACGATAAGCAAATATATATCTAAATACATCAATTGTACTTAGTAATTATTTTACGTCATGCGCTTGTTAACTCTACTGGTGGACTATGAGTCCCTACTATTGCTACCAAGGGCAGTCGTCAGGAACTGGCCGTAGGTCGGTGGTTTTTTCTGGTAGCCATACATGTATACATGTTCCTGCTTTCGTTTTATAGTATGCATGTTTCGTATGATCTGTCAATAAGAGCTTCTATTAGCCGCAGACCGAGTATGTATCGTCTGTTTACACCTTGCATATGTGTGTAAGCTTATGCTTCTGGATCTCTGTATTCTATTTTGTACACATTTGTATTTTAGTCTGGCAACCTTTTTACATCTTTTTATACAAGTATTATTTCTTCTGTGCACATGTGTTTTTCGTATTTACACACGTGTTGTTCCGTAGTAACACGTGTTTTTCGTATTTGCACACGTGTTGTTCCGTAGTAACATGTGTTTTTCGTATTTACACACGTGTTGTTCCGTAGTAACACGTGTTTTTCGTATTTACACACGTTTTGTTCGGTATTAACATGTGTTTTTTGTTATTACACATGTGTTGTAAAGAAGAAGTGATTAATCGTCTGTGCATTTGAATTTGTATCTGTTTATATTAAGTCCTAGATTCGACACGTGTAAAATGCACGTACGTGCTCAATCGCTTTATACATACACGTGTGTTTCTTGCATTTTTGTTGTACTCGTGCGCGCATGTATCTTAGCATATGTAGTAGATTGTAAATTCGGTTTTCACACATGTGACGTCATATTAGAACATGTTCTACTTCAAATACACCCTGTAGGTCGTTTTTTGTATTTTTAAATAATAGTGTTAATTTGACTCATTAAAAACCCATTGCGTGTTCAAGGCTAGTTATAACACTTATATTTAAAGGCCTCTTAAGAGATCCCACTATCTATGTAGACTCCATTGGTCCCACAAAGAAATCGTGTATATATGTTCCCCTGAACCTAGTAATTAGATCCGACCTCAAATTAACGTTCCGTAAGATAAAAAATCATCAATGATTGCTCATATCTATTTATTTCAATAATAAAAGCAAATTCCTATTTCCGCCTGATCCGAAAACCTCAAAGCAAAAGAATAAGAATGTTTTTGAAAAAAAGACAAACGAACAAAGGCAACTTCATTTAACTATAATAATAACAGATGAAGGCAAACGAGCATTGGCACGACTTTTAAGATTATTTAAAGTACTATTATGTTTCTTCACATCACTGTCCCTATAAGTGTCCTTATACCAAATACTAATACATGTATTCTAAAACGATTTCAGTCATAAACCTTCCTTGCTTTCATGCCTCCCTTTGTCTGTGCGTAGCTTAAGTACTCCATTGCCTTATCATTGGTATTGGCGTCGTCATTGGAGATAAGAAATAGATGTTCAAGGTAAGGAATGTGGATTTTATGCAAAATTCTATCTAAGGGGGTTTTGAATTTGAGTATCCGTTACCTCTAGGGGCGAATACCTGACCACTGGTACACAAAAAAGAAATATATCATACTGCTCCAAAGCACGATGCCAAGGTTTGAATATTGAACGAAAATAGCAATGATCGCAACGGTTAAAACTTCTTGTCATCTGATTGCATAGTATGGTGTTATTCTACTACCTTGTCGTCATTGTGACGTCACGAATCCTCATGTGACTGCATTCTGACATTTGGTAACTCTTTTTTATAGTAAAATACACAGATACGAGAAAGATATTATATCCTGCTATCAGTCTTCAAGCTTTAGAAGAGTGATGTCTTTGTGTGGGTCCTATTCTCCTATTGTCTTCCCTGTTTCCCAATATCCCAATATTTGAGAAGACGTCCTCATCTACTTGTTTTGTGAATTTCCATTCCATGTACGTTGTGTTTGGTGTATGGAAAAGTGTAATATTTTCGTGCGTCTATGTTTGTCCAGTGAATGATAATTATTGACCATATTTTCCGTTGTGTCGACCGGGTATATGGAGAAGTCTTGGTCCTACGTTTTGGAAGAGTGTTTCGTCTTCGTCACATCTAATGGGTCATCTCTTGCTGTCAATCAGATACTGTCTTCTCATTTTTTCTGTTGTAGCTGAAGGTTAAATCATTTATATTAATTCTTATTAATTTGTCGTTTTCATCCCCTTGTTAATAACGTTTACGTGCGTTATGACCAGAACGTGTGTTCAACCCCACATTATCAATTGACTTGATTAATGTCATTATAGAATTCCACGGGTATAAGGGATTTTGTTAGAGGTATAGGACTTGTGTCTGCACTTTTATTCGAGTTTGTAATGTAAATGGGTGCTTTAAGAGGAATTAGAGGTTCTCAAAATTCATGATTGTCTAACTCGAGTTCATTCATTTTCGAAGTGTTTAAAGACACCAGGTTTACCCAGTGTGTTTGCAAATAGATATATAACTAACGAAGTTTAGATGAACATGCTTATCAACTATCTCTAGTTTTTGGACCGTTCAGATACTTAATCTAGAAAAGCATATGTTTATCTTGGGAATACAGTTTTCTTGTCTCCGATCGAGAAAATATTTTTTATGAACTATGACGTCACAAGGGAAGATGACGACGGAGAAAAATTGATACTTGACGTTATAATTAGAATAATAACAAATTAAATGACGTGTAGGGCACTACCCACTAGTTGGTGACTAGAAATGTTTACCAACTCTTAATAGGTTTATCCAGTAAGACAGGAGTGAAGAAACCTTTACATGTAAATAGTTCCTAACGTTCGTTGTTTCTCCTCTTTTTGTTAAGGTAAGATATGTGAGTGTTTAAGAGAAAAATATAGATATCAGCATTGCATTTTTTGATCGGACTCTATGGCATCTTCTGAATGATGAACCTAATGTATGTGTTTATCGGGAACACATTGTTTGGTTTCAACGGTGGATACTTACCTGCATTTTAGAGGGGAT